GTCCGCCCGCCAGCGCACTCACGCTCGGGCGCGGCTTCGGCGTCCTCCGCAAAGCCACTTCTCGGTCCAGGAGGCGGCGGAGGCGGCTGGGTGCGCTGGCGGTGCCGGGAACGCGACGTGTTAGTGAGAGGCCAGTGGCGACTGGTAATTAATCACTCGAGCCGGTGGCTCGTACCATGCGCTCGATGATACGCGCCCTGCGCCCGGCTCCTCTTGCACAATTGCTGGCTCTGCAGCTCCGAGGGGGAGCGAGGGTGAGAGGAAGCGAAGGGAAACAACCCAGAAACTTTCATCTTGGACTGTGCTCAAGCGAGGGAGGGAAGTTCCCTGGTGCCTCCCTCCTAGTCACGTCTTGCTTTCCAGAGCCTACACCAGACCCACACAAAGCAAGAGTTTAGTATATTCACGCAGGGCGAAAAGTATTGCTGACAAATACACTTGGATTTCAAGCAGATGGCAGTTATTAAGAAATTGGTATTTCCCACTTAAAAAAATCGCGACTGCTTCTTTTAAAAAAAGGTTTTGCTTGTAAAAGTTCGTGAGTTCTACTTTATTGAGTTAGATTTTTTTTTATTTGAGAAGTATTGTTAACGAAGGAGAGAAAATTCTCCAGGTTATGCACTACCACAAGTTTATAAATCCTTCTGCAAAAGATGGAGTGCACAGAGCCTGGGTTTGGTATCGTTTAGTTAGCGAACAGTTTTATCACACAGTTCTAGACAGGATAAATGCATTTGAGTAAGGTGTATTTTGACATATCCTGTAGAGGGACCCTGATTACTGCTGATACAGTAAGCTGGGATTTAAGCGCAATCAACATAAACTCAATAAGCAACTCTTTTATGTGCTATTTCCCATTCTTGCAAGTTAAAAAGTTCATTTCCTCCCGAAGATATTCCTTGTTACTGCAGCGTGCCTTGAGAGAGACATGTCTGAGGTACATCTCTGCCTGGGTGACGCACTTCATGGTTGGAACACAGGGTGTGTTTTCTCTGAACTCAGGACCAAATAACTTGTACTGTACTTAAAAAAATTAGATGCCACCTTCCAGGATTTTTCTTGTGGCGTGTGTGTGTGTGTGTGTGTGTGTGTGTGTGTGTGTGTAGGTGTAGGGAAGATTGGTTAGGTCTCCCTCTAGCTAGAAAAGAGTTAATAAAGCCAGATAGAGATAATGATCAATTGATAAATGGCTATTGAACCACATAGATGGTGTTAGATTGCTTCTTTGGCACTAGCCCATTTCAAGTAGATTTGAGTCTAAGCTCACTAAGTCTCACAAAACTTTATTTCATCTAAAAAACAAAAGTAAATTATATAAACGATGGGTCAGAATGAGGAAAATAATTTGAAATCACTCAGAGAGAGACTTGTATAACTGAGCTCTTATGATGCCTTTGATCCAGCTGTTTGACTCTGTGGGAATATAAAGATCCGTTTTGTGTGTGCTTATATAGATGTCTATCATAGTGAGCCTCAGTGAATATTTGGAGAGAATAGAAATAGAGGAAAGTAACTTATGTGTATGATGAATTCGACAAGAAACTTATGTATCAATTAAATAATTTACTAAATGGTATAATAAAATAAAGGAGAAAAGAAAAATTAAGTTTTTAAAAATCTTGTAATTTAACAATATTTCTGATGTTTTCTTTATTTTTTTGTAATTGGTTTTGATGCAGGTAATAACTCCCTCTTCCCTTCTTTTTTTCAGTCTTCTTTACTAAATGTTTACCTCCTGTGCATTTTTGTAAAGCATGTAAAAGAAGGTGTAGATTTACATGTTTCTTTTTTCTTCTTTAGAATGACATTTCACTTTGTATAAAACCTGTGTAAACTCATTCAAACTGTATCAATTTAAAAATATATGCGTTATACATGTTTAATATGTTTATTTTCCTTACCTGTAGTTCATCGGCAATGCTGATGTGTGTATATGTGTATATGTGTTGTGTTCATGAGAAAGACTTTCCTTGAAATGAGGTCTCTTGAAGCCAATAGTATCAAGATACTAATTTCAATATACACATTAAGCTAGCTTTTATCTTACTCTAGATAAGTTTGTCCATATTTATGAATTATGCTGAAATCTATTAAAAAATTAGTTTATGAAATGAACTTATTGGATATGTTTTTTCAAAGCTTTCTATAGTAATAAGCTAAAAGAGTTACCTGATCATATATTTAAATATTAGAAGAGATTGAATAGTAGTTTTCAAAACTGAGTTTTAGAGAATTCACCACCAGTATTATTTAGCTACGTCAAAACTTACAGCGGAAAATGGCTCATGAATACTGAAATTTATATTCTAAGTTTATGTCTTACATATTGGTAAATTAGGAAGTAGGAATATAAAAAGCTCTGTCTTTTGTATGAGCAAAGTTGCATCTGCTTACATGTAAATCCTTTAGTCTTTCTAATACTGGTAAAAAGACATCACAATCCAAAGCCAATTTAGATTTGTACAATTAAGTGTCATCCCCTAAAGTTCCAGATAGGACAATTTCAACACATCTTTCTACCTATTTTCATTTTCTTCCATATTCATATATGATTTTTTTTTTTTCAAGAAGGGATAATTTTTCCCCACACAGACAAGTGTTTAGTAACCTTAAAGGGCATGACTCTTGACTTTTGAGAAGGGAATTCTTCTTTGGGTCACTTTGATCAGTGGCAGGTTGAGAATGACCAGAAACTCTTTGCTCATCTTCTGTTAATCTCCTGGAGTCCAAAAGATTATTTTATACATTTCAACCTCATGAAGTATTGTCAAAAAGCAGAAAATATGGCCTGCTTTTGGGAAGTTTCTATAAAATCAGTTTTTAAAAGGTCTTTTCCCTCCATATTTTTGTAAATATTTTGTACACTTCAGAGAATTTCAAATGAAATACTTTTTTAACTATCCTTAAGGGATGCAGTAGACAAATAGATCTTGCGATTTTTTTAGAAATGAAAACGGAAAAGGTAAATGACTATGGCACACATTTTATACATTCCTAGAGGTATTTACCTTTTATTATTGGTGAGGTATATTTAACCTGTTTCAAATAAAATGCAGATCCCTTAATAAGGTTTCTTCAGACACATGTGAAATACTAAGTTAGAATTATAAATGATTCTGTGCATCATTATGTAGTAATTTAGGATTCACCCAATGATGTAACAAAATTAACAACATAATTTCATTGTGAAACTGTGTCTTATTAAAGAACAACTGTCTGACATTCTCTTACAGTTGCTTTATTTAACTTCATGCAAATATTATTAGTAGTGACATTTTTCTATTGTGCATTAGATTCTCTCATTAGCATGATGTGTTAGTTATCACCAGAGAAATCATTTCCTAGATAGGTGAGGGGCAAACCAAGAAAGCTAAAAATTAAATCAACTATTTACATTAATACTAGAGCATCTGCTCACCACAGATATGACAGAATAAGGCAAACTTTTTTACTAATAGAAAATCTAGCACATTTCATAGAAATGATAAATAAAATATAGTGTTAAAAAACATAATAACATTGCTGGAATCCATTTAAAAGCTTGTTCGATAGGAATTTTTCTCTTTTAGATCTTTCTGTTCATATAGGCAAATACAGTTTTAGTTTGTTGAATCTGTATTTTAAAACAGAAATGGTGGTTTTGTCTGTATTCTTTCCCATACTCAAATAATCTGAATGTTTATTCACTATCAGTTTAAAAGCACATACACAATAAAAAGCACATATACAGTTTAAGTTAGATGCCTGATTGTATCTTGTGGTTTCATTCTTTATAGTGTGTAGAATGCATTTTTATTCTAAATTCCATCCCACTTATATAGACATACCTTTAACACAGGTTGTACATTCTTTTTTAATCAGAACCCCTGAGTAAAGCAGTTGATAGTTAATGGTCTTTGAAAATGACTTTGATTGCCAGGCGTCATCCATTCCTAGGTTTCTGCACTTTTATCTCCTCCCTTTTTACTCCCCTTCTTATAGTTAGCGTGATTTGGTAATCATGTTTTACTGAAGGATGATTAAATTGACCAAACTTAGGGTCTTGAGGCTAAAAAAATATTTATATTAGTAAGCATATAATTTCAGCCTGTTGAATTACTAGGCTGTTACTCCCAATTTAGTCCCCCTTTCTGATTTGAGTGTTTTATTTTGAGGTTTTAAGTATAGACATATATTCAGATGTAATTCTTGACATCTATCCTGATATCATAACACTAAAATGGAATATTTGGGTAATTATTTAAGCCCATGTTTTAGCATAGAAACAGGTGTTGTGTGTTGCAAAGGCCTATACCTTGTAAGTCTCTGTGTAGCATGTAG